ATGCTCATTTAAAGTCTCTGGTTTTTAATGAGCTCACGTTTTTTACGTCATGGATTGTATTTGTTGGATGGTTGGTTCAGTGTGAGCTACTGAGTGTTAATAGGAGAAGAGGAGGCTCTGGGAAGAGCTCATTGAAGCCTCTCAGTTCTTCAAGGGGGCCTGCAAGGAAGGGACCCATCCCCTTGTGCCTCATCAAGCACATTTACATTTGGCTCAGAAAATCCCAACCAGAGCATTTCATGCCCAGCCACAGAGCACTGATGAGAGGAGCTCTCTGCTCGTGGATTCTGCAATGACATGTGGTGGTACCCCATTGTTTGGGGGGGAATCAAACACAATCTTATTTAGAAATAAGGGAACTGCTCTTTTCAAGACTTTAAAAAATATATTAGCAGCTTTCTAAAGTAGGCAAGAATTAAACTGCATTAGAATGCACATAAAAAGGAACATTTTGCATTTATTCAGTGGGCTGGACATCTCTGTGAAGCTGCTAAAGCCAGCCAGGAAGGATTATCTCCTCAGGAAGATTTTACCAAGCACTGGCAGCCCTTTGGTGCCATCAGCTTTCCCAAAGTGCCACGATCCCATCAGGAACAGCAGGAATTCTGGATCACCACCGGGTGATGAAATGCCACTCATCAGCTCTGAAGCAATCCCTCCAGAAGTGCCCAGTGAACCTCTCCAGGTGGCAGGAATTTTATCAGGACCTGTTAAAAGCCACAGGACAAGGGTTAATGGATTTAAATGGAAGGATTTAGGCTGGCTCAGATTAGATATCAGATAGGAGTTTGTTACCATGAGGGCAGTGAGGCCCTGGCACAGGTGCCCAGAGAAGCTGGAGCTGCCCCTGGATCCCTGGAAGTGTCCCAGGCCAGGCTGGATGGGGCTTGGAGCAGCCTGGGACAGTGGGAGGTGTCCCTGCCATGGCAGAGAAGCTTATCTAGATGACTTTTAAAGGTCCTTTCCAATCCAATCTGTGATTCTGTGAATCATTCCTTGATTTTATCCTGCCCCAGGAGCTGGATCAGCATTAATGCTGCTGGGTTAGGGATATCCTCAAAGCCTTGGAGCCCATCCTCACCCACCCCTGTTAGAGGGGAGCCCTCCCTGGTGCCTCTGTGACCCTGGCGTGGCTGGCACCGTGTCTGGCAGTGGTGACAATGCCCTGGGGCCTGCTCCAGCTCCAAGTGGCACTGCTGGCATGTTCTGTGCAGGAATCAGAGCTTCATTCGGTGCTGTCAGCTGGAGACACCCAGAGCTGTCCATTCTTTGCCACGTTTTGAAAGCTCAAGGTCTCCAAGCCCTTGAGCTGTTGGCTGGAATCTCCCACTGAAGCTTCCAGCAGCCTGCTTCTCCCATCTGCTCCTGTGAAGGTAAATGTGACAATTCACTCTGGGGACAGCCCTGACTTCCTTCATTAGCTCCACATTAGTCTGATGCTGCTCGTTTTTCTTGGAGCCTCGTGTGGGAGCTGCTGGAATAAAGCTGGGATACACAGTTCAGGTGATGGAAGCTGCTCCTTGGGATGAACATCCTGCACCTGTGCCCTACAGCTTGTTCCTCCTGTGGGTTTGGCATCCCAAGATCCCATTTGTCTGGGTGAAACCCCGAGTGACTCAGGGCTGGGCTCCTGAGAGCTCCCTTCCTTCTTGGTTTGTTATTTTTTTGTGTTTATTCCGTGCAGCCACAGGAACGATCAACAGGAGCCTTGAGCTGGAGTCGGCAGGACTTGTAGGAGCCAGCCTGGGATGGCTTCCCACGGCTGCTCCTGGCACTCCTGCCACCTGGACAGGTTCACTGGGCACTTCTGGAGGGATTGCTTCAGAGCTGATGAGTGGCATTTCATCACCCGGTGGTGATCCAGAATTCCTGCTGTTCCTGATGGGATCGTGGCACTTTGGGAAAGCTGATGGCACCAAAGGGCTGCCAGTGCTTGGTAAAATCTTCCTGAGGAGATAATCCTTCCTGGCTGGCTTTAGCAGCTTCACAGAGATGTCCAGCCCACTGAATAAATGCAAAATGTTCCTTTTTATGTGCATTCTAATGCAGTTTAATTCTTGCCTACTTTAGAAAACCGCTAATATATTTTCTTAAGTATTCAAAAGAGCAGTTCCCTTATTTCTAAATAAAATTCTGTTTGATTCCCCCCCAAACAATGGGGTACCACCACGTGTCATTGCAGAATCCACGAGCAGAGAGCTCCTCTCATCAGTGCTCTGTGGCTGGGCATGAAATGCTCTGGTTGGGATTTTCTGAGCCAAATGTAAATGTGCTTGATGAGGCACAAGGGAACGGGGCTGAGGCTGGGGAGAAATGGCTTTTAGCAGCAGATGCAGACAAAAGGATTGGATTTCAGTCCACAAAAAGTCAAAGACAAAAAAGAAATAGAGACTGGAGTCCCAAATGGAGGGAGGAGGTGTCAGAATTTGGAAGGCTGAACAGCTGTAGCCTGTTTATGCATTTAAACCCATTGTTAGAGAGCTGGAAATTACACAAAAAAGCTAAGGGCATTTAAATTCTGTTTTCTTAGAAAAGGTCTGCAGTTGACCAAGACAGGCTACAAAAAGAAATGCAAAATTTATGAAGCGTTTTGGGCTTATATGGAATGAACCTAAAATACATTGGAAGAGTCTTCTGAGTGGGTGTTGTGGTGAAAGCATTCGAAATCACAGAAAGAAAATGAAATGATTTGGATATCTCCTGGTATCAGAAATCTGATGAGTGTCTGGAACCTGCTCCTCCAAAGCTCAGAACCTACAGCTGTGGATATTCCAGCTATGAAAACTCTTTCCTGGCTACCTAGAGAAGCATTTTTCCTCCAAGTGTTGAAAAGTGGAATGTTTCTGACCTTTAACAATGATGATATTTGATTCTGGTGAAAAAAGGAAGCAAGAAGTAATTATGAAATATTTTTATTGGCTCCAGCAGCAGCTCTGCAGTGCAGATGGTTTAAATTACCTACCTCGAGGTTGGAGTGTAAGGCTCAGATCCATCTCCACAGTTTTAATATTTATAGCACAGTACTAACTTGCTGGCCTAGATCTTGAAAGCAGCTTAATTGAGCCTTTAAAAGCTGGTAGTTCCCTCTTGTTGTACACGAGTCAACAAATGCTTTTCCCTCTCCCTTCCCTGGCAGTGCTTTAGTCACACTCAGGCTCTGACAGGCTGCAGGGAAGGAGCTCTGTTCCCCACCTTTCAGCAGAACATGAATCCTGATGGAAGCAGCTGGACTCCACTGCTTGTTTGCTTGGTGGCTGAAGCCAGAGGGGGATCCCAGCCTGGTTCTGGGATCCAGTTCTGCTCCATGGGCAGGGACACCTTCTGCTGTCCCAGGGTGCTCCAAGCCCCATCCAGGCTGGCCTTGGACATTCCAGGGATCCAGGGGCAGCCACAGATGCTCTGGGATCCTGTGCCAGTGTTTTGTCACTCTCACAGTGAAAAATTTCTTCCTTAAATCCCACCGTTTCCTCTCCATCCCACCACCAAACCATCCCACCTTCACCAACTGCTACTTCCAATGAGCTCTGCTGTTTGCCCTGTTTTTTCCCTTTTTATTTTTCTTCTCCTCATTCTCCTC